AGGGAGTCAGATCCGCTGCCGGAGGTTTGGCTCCGCAGAAGCGCAGAGTTGGGTGTTTGCGCGGAGCGAGCAAGTTCCCTGGCAGGAACTGGTTCTCTTTGGGATTTTGGCTGGGGGATGGGCGGGGGAGATGGCGCTGGCGAGCGCCTTTGTTCCCCACCAAACTGAGCTCTGTCGTCAGGGGGCTCAGCAGCTCTCCCTCCCTTTGTCCTCCAGCCTTCCAGCTTTCCGAGCAGAGCTGTTAACTTATGACCTCCCAGACGCTAAGTTGTGCTTGCTGTCGGAACACAGTCCGTCAGGCCCCTCCGCTTTTGCCAGCCAGACCTGGGGGCTCTGCTTGGCCGGCGAGCCGCCCCTCCGCCCCGGCTCCCTCCCGCCAGTCCGTGGAGCGTGCACCGCCTCGCCGCCCTTCCTACCCTCTTCCGTGGGCCTCTCGTCTGCGCTTGGCTCCGGAGACTCCGTTCTTCTAATCCTCTGGCGGTTTTCTGGGTTATTTAGGCAGGTGTAGGTGGAATCTAAGTGATCAGCAGGACGCGCGGTGAGCCCAGCGTCCTCCTATGCCGCCATCTTCCCTCTCTCCTACAATGTTTTATTTTCTAGAGAATCCTTACTGTTTCCTTTCTGACATTTAGCATGAAAATCTAATCGCTCGCATTCTTCTAAGAACTGATTTGAGCAGGAACTGATCCATATTTTAATTAAGTTGAGTTATTGTATGATTTGTCTAACTCATAATCGCACATATTGCTGCTTCCCCTCAGGGGTTGATTTATTTGATCTTGCAAGTATTTTAGCAGGGAAGAGTTTGAACTCTGATTTTAAATAGTTTTGGTTCACAGTTTGGTTCATTCCTGGTAGCACTTCAAATACAATTACCACAAGAACATGCAGGATGAGATTCCTCTGGTTTTTATTTCCTCCTTTTTATAGTTGTGTAATTGCCAAACTATAAAACATTTTGTTATCCCCAAAAGCTTCCTTGTATCCCACTTACAGTCAGTTCTTTCCTCCCACCCTGGCTCTAGACAAACACTGATCTGTCACTATGCTTTTACCTTCTCTAGAATGTCATATAAATAAAATCATATAATATGTGGTCATATATATATATATACATATATATATATATGTATACATATACATATACATATACATGTATATATATATATATATATATATATATATATATATATGGCCTTCCCCACTTCATCATGTATTTGAGATCATCCATGTTGTTCTGCATATCAGTAGTTTGTTTCTTTGGTGTGAAGAGTATTCCATTGTATGACTATCCCACAGTTTGTAATCCATTCACCAGTTAATAAACATTTAGGTGGTTGGATGCAATAACTATTTTGCATGTAACTTTTATGAGTGAAGCTTCTGTGGACATTGTGTACAAGTCTTTGTGAGGATATATGTTTTTATTCATCGTGGATAGTTTCTTTGGAATAGGATTGGTGAGTTATAAATACGTGTTTAACTTTATGAGCGATTACTCATAAACTGTTTCCCAACATGGTGGAATAATTGTATCTTCCTACCAGCTCTCTATGAGAGTTCTGGTGGCTGCACATTCTTACCAGAATTGGTATTGTCAGTCTTTTTAATTCTGACCATTCCTAATGGGTACGTAGGCCTCACTTTTCTGCCATCTTTATGGCAAAATTGAGATGGGGAGGAGTTTGGTAGAAGAAAAATGTTTGGGTTCAGTGATTTGCCTTAGGAGCTTTTCTCATTCTAGTCTATCTGCCAGCTTAAATGGCTGTCAAAGGCTCAGCTGGTTTTTCTTCATACTCTCAATTCTGTTTGTCAATGGTAGGCCTGCTTTTTGACGTGGCTGACTTGGCACACTAGGCACAACTAGGCCAAGTGCTCTTCTTTCTCCACCATGCTCCCTTTAGGTATGGATATGGCTTTGGTTCTTTGCTCATCTGCAAAGTGTTCTGTGGAATTCAATTCATCATGTTTTCCTTATGTCCTCTCCTTTTCAATATCCTCAAGGAAAAACATAATAATTTGTAGGTGACTAACAGTCTGTATTATACTGGTATTTTACTTGTCTTACAGCACTGTTGTCATAATTTTTGATGATTTTAATATCCATGTAGAAGATCTTTCCAAATAATGTGGTCTCTTAGTTCACTGAATGATCATTCACTCTAATGATCTTATCTTCTATGTCAGCCACTAACCAACAAGATGATATCCTTTAGTCTTTGTCATAACCAATCACTGTTACTTTTCCATAATTTAAGTTTCAATCATCTTAATTTCTGGTCACTACCTCTTATCTTTCCCACTTAGTCTGTCTAATATTCTGACTCCAAAAGTCCTTTGATTCCATTAGGAACTATAATCCATCGGTCCTATTACATTTTACTGTCCCAAATACTTCTTCTATTCTTACTTACCTAGCTTAAATTCCATGTTCCCTTATTATTATTGCTCCCACACATAGGTACTTAACTCTCTTGCCTTGTCATTCTTTATTGATTTTATTTTGTTAAACTGCAACCCTGATCAAATCAATCCCTATATTTGTGGCTTCTAAATCTGAATAGAAGATGGTCCTCAAGCATGTGTATAGTCTCATATTTATGATTAGTAACTCTAGTTCATTCATTTTCCTGCTTTCCTGAATGACTAATTCAATTTTCCCACTCTTCTATATGGGTATTGATCTTTACTATGACAAAAAAAATATATGAGCGTATGAGTATGTTTTAAAATGTGACGTTGAATAACATATTCCTCATGGAGAACACTCTATGAGAATCCTAACTGTATATAAGCATCTAGATTTGTTTATCATAGGTTATCTCTGATTTACAAATCACCGCTCTACTATAAAAGATTTAGTCATTGTGACTTTTTTTTTAAGTCATTATAACATTTTAATCTGTCACTATTTTTTCCTCAAAGTCTTCATTTGCTTATTGAGGGTGAAAGACTATAGCTCTTGATAAGTATACTTATATTCAGAAGTTATAATTAGCGTTAATTTTCTAACACAAAGAGATATTTATAAGGTATATACAGAATTGCTACCTTTTTTTGGCTGCTCATAAATTTCAGGAGTCTAAATCTGGGATGCTTGATTTTCTACAACTATGTAGAGGAGAATGAGAAGAGATGCATAGTTGGGTATGTCATTCATGGGCCACTCCCCAGAATGTATTCTCTTCCACTTTCTGGGAGAATTTGCTAGTATAGAATTTGGAGCACAATTTCTTGTCTTATATGTTTGAAGGGACATAAATTATAGACAAAAATTATTTTTAAAAGCAAATGTACTAAAATATAAATGGGTATGCATATGGGTTCTGAAATTAAAAGTAACTTTGTTTTATTCTTTTCAAAAGGTTGGGGATGATCTGAATTCATTCTTGATATGTTGTTCACAATTTGCAGCTCAGTTAGAAGAAGCAGCTAAGGAAGAACGTCATGTATGTATTCTGCATAAATTATCGAATCTAAAATATCATTTATTGTTTTAATTTAAATTATTGGTACTGTTAACAAATTTTATACTAATACATTTTATATTTATTAAAAATTGCTATTAAAATAATTATAGTGGTAAAATATTTTAAAGCTATGTTGGTTGTTTGAATTTAGATGTAATATCATGTAGCAATATTAGTCTAGATACAATGCCTTAATGAGTTACAATAGGCATTAGAAAGTATTATTTTTTTTTATTCTTAACATAGGCACTTAGATCTGTGAATTTTCCTTTAAGTACAGCATTGATAGAGTCATTGGTATTTTCATATTTACAGATGAAAATATAGTATTAATAGTATTTTTATTTTAGTGTTTTTAATAAGGTAAATTATATTACAAAGGCAATATGTCATAATTAATGAAAATTTTAAAAAAGACATGCATGAAGAAAACAAAAATTTGTTGTGGCCTGTTTACATAAGGATTTTTATGCTGAATTAGTTTTCTTCTATTCTTAGTTTATTGGGGTTTTTTTTTTTTTTAACCATCAAGGAGTTGAATTTTATCAAAACCTTTTCTTGAATCTATTGAGATGATCATGTGGTTCTTGTCCTTCATTTGTTTATGTGGTGTATTACATTGTTTCATGTTATTACAAATAGTGAGCCAGGCTTATGTTCCAGACATAAATCCTACTTGTTTTTACCTTTTAATTTGCTTTTGAATTCTGTTTGCTAGTATTTTGTTTAAGATTTTTGCATCATTATTAATCAGGGATATTGGTCTGTAGTTTTCTTGTGTCTTTGTCTAGTTTTGATATCAGGATAATGCAGGCCTCATGGAATAGGTTTGGAGAATTCCTCCTTTTTGATTCTTTGGGAGAGTTTGAGAAGGGTTGGTGTTTTAAATGATAGCATGCCCCAGTGAAGCCATCTCGTTCTGGATTTTTCTTTGTTGGGAGGTTTTTGATTACTGCTTCAGTTTCCTCACTAGTTATAGATCTGTTCAGATTTTTAAATTTTTTCATGGGTTGGCCTCAGTAGGTTATATGTTTCTAGGAATTTATCCATTTCTTCCAGGTTATCCAATATTTTGGCATATAATTGTGTATAGTAGTCTTTTATGATCTTTTGTCTTTGAGCAAAGTGGACATCATTGTAATATATTCTCTTTCATTTCTAATTTTAATTATTTGAATATTCTCTTTTTTTTTCATAGTTAATCTAGCTAAAGCTTGTTACTTTTGTTAGTCTTTTTTTTTTTTTTAAGTTTATTTATTTTGAGAGAGAGGGAGAGACAGACAGACAATGTGAGCAGGGGAGGGGCAGAGAGAGAAACCCAAGCAGGCTCCACATTGTCAGGCAGAGCCTGATGTGCTTGAATTCACAAACTATGAGATCATGACCTAAGCTGAAATCAAGAATCAGAGGCTTAACTGACTGAGCCACCCAGGCGTCCCCTTGTTAATCTTTTTAAAAACCACTCTTGGTATCATTTTTGTTTCCTATCTCTATTTCATTTATCTCTGCTCTAATATTTATTATTTCCTTTCTTTTGCAAACTCTGGCTTTAAACAAAATTTTTTTTGTTCCTTTAGATAAAAGGCTATTGTTTGTGATCTTTTTATTTATTTAATTTATTTTTTGAATATTTATTTATTTTTGAGAGAGAGAAAGAGAGAGAGACAGAGAGAAGGGAATAGAGAATCCCAAGCAGTCTCAGCACTGTTAGTGCAAAGTCTGATGTAGGGCTTCACCTCAGGAACCATGAGATCATGACCTGAGCTGAAATCAAAAGTTGGATGCTTAACCAACTGAACAACCCAAGTGTCTCAGTTTGTGAACTTTTTAAATGTAAACACTTACCACCATAAACTTTTAGTACTGATTTTTGCCAAATCTCATAGTTTTGGTATTTTGTGTTTTGTTTTCGTTTATCTTCAGATATTTTCTAAATTCCATTATGATTTTTTCTTTGATCCATGGATTGTTCAAGAGCATGTTGTTTAATTTTCACATATTTGTGGATTTTTTTGTTTTCTTTCTACTATTGATTTCTAATTTTATACCACTGTGTTTAAAAATATGCTTTGTGTGATTTTGATCTTAAAATTTGTTAAAACTTGTTTTGTGTCCTTAACATGTAGTCTGTCTTGGAGAATGTTCCATGAGTGCTTGAGAAGAACATGTATTTTGCTGTCGTTAGGTGGAGTGTTCTGTATATGTTTGTTATGTATATCTATTTTACAGTATTGTTTAGTCTTTCATTTCTTAAAATTTTTTTTTATGTTTATTCATTTTTGAAAGAGAGAGACAGAGCACAAGCAGGGGTGGGGCGGAGAGAGAGAGGGACACAGAATCTGAAGCAGGCTCCAGGCTCTGAGCTATCAGCACAGAACCCGACGTGAAGCTTGAACTCACGAACCACGAGATCATGACCTGAGCTGAAGTCAGATGCTCAACCGACTGAGCCACCCAGGCGCCTCTAGTCCTTCATTTCTTATTGATATTCTGTCTGATTGTTCTTGCCATAACTGAAAGGGGGGGATATTGAAATGTCCTAATATTATTGTGTTGCTGTCTGTTTCTCCCTTTAGTTCTGTTAGTGTTTGCTTCACATATTTGGGTGCTTTAATATTAGGTGCATATATATTTATAATTGTTACATATTTCTAGTGAACTGGCCCTTTTATCATTATATATGTCTTTCTTTTTTCTTTATTTTTTGACAGTTTTGTCTTAATCTCTATTTTGTCTAAGAATGGCCACCCTTGCTCTCTTTAAGTTCCTGTTTCTATGGAATATCTTCTTCTGGCCTTTTGCTTTGAGCCTGTGTGAGTTCTCAGATTTAAAGACAGCCTCTTAGGGGCAGCATATAGTACTTGTAGGAGATGCTTACTATTGTCATTTTGTTTATGCTTTCTGTTTGGTAGCTTTTGGTTCCTCTTTTTCTCTCTTGGTATCTTCTTTTGTGTTTTGTTGATTTTTTTGTAGTGATGTATTTTGATTCCCTTCTTGTTTCCCCTTGTTTATATTCTATAGTTATTTACTTTGTGGTTACCATTGCAATTATATAAAACTTATTAAAGTTACAACAATCTATTTTAAACGGATAACAACTTCAATTACATATAAAAACTCTACTATTTACATCCCTGCCTCTCCTACTTTATGTTATTCATGACATAAATTACCTCTTTTTACATTGTATGCCCATTAACTTAAGTTTATAATTAGTTTTCATCTTAAAAAATTCTTTACCAAATTTATAAGTGATTTATTTGCCTGCTTAAGAATACTGCAGGATATTTGTTGATACGTTTATATTTGTAAGGGAATTTTATATTTTTGTATGGTTTTGTGTTGATGTTTATTGTTATTTCTCTTCAACTTTTAGGACTCCTTCAGGGTTTCTTATAAGGAAGGTCTAGTGGTAATGAATTCTTTTCAGCAGTTCTTTTTATCTGGGAAAGTCCTGATTTCTCCCTTATATTTGAAGGATAGTTTTGCAAGATATAGTATTTTTGTTTGGCAGTTTTCTTTCAGTGCTCCCTAGTAGCCCATAATCTAATGGTTAAAAATTTGCTGATGATCTGGTATAAACTTTCTTATATGTAATGTGTTCTATTTTTCTTGCTGTTGACAAGATTCTATCTCTGTGACTTTTGACAGTTTAGTATGATGTATCTCAGTATAGATTTCTTTTGATATTTTCCTAATTGGAGATCTTTAAGCTATTTGAATTTGTATGTCTATTTTCGTTTCAGATTTGGGAAATTTTTATCATTTCTTCAAATAAGTTCCATGCCTGTTTCTTTTTTCTTCCTTCTTCAGTTCCCGTAATTCATATTTTGTACCATTCCTTGGTATCCCATATGTCCTTTAGGCTCTCTTTATTTTTCTTCATTCTTTCCTTTTTTTTCCTTTTCTGTCTTGATTATTTTGAAGATCTTGTCTTATAGTTTTCTGATTCTTTCTTCTAATTGGTCAAGTCAGCTGTTGCATTCCTGTAATGGATTTTTCAATTCAATTATTGTATTCTTTAGTTCCAGAATTTCTGTGTGGTTTTTCTTCATAGTTTTTATTTTTTTTTCTTGATATTCTCATGTTTATGTATGGTTTTTCTCATTTCCTTTGGTTGTCTTGTGCTCTCTTTTAGCTCATTAAGTATCTTCATGATGACAATTTTGAATTCTTCATAATTCATACATTTCTGTTTCTTTAAAGTTAGTTTCTGGAGGGGCACCTAGGTGGCTCAGTTGGTTGAGCATCTCACTTTGGCTTAGGTCATGATCTCATGGTCTGTGGGTTTGGGCCCCATGTAGGGCTCTGTGCTGACAGCTCAGAACCTGGAGCCTGCTTTGGATTCTCTGTCTCCCTCTCTCTTTGCCCCTCCCCCATTTGTGCTCTTTCTGTCTCTCAAAAATAAATAAACTTAAAAAAAATGATTAGTTTGTGGAGATTTAATTTGTTTGTTTGAATGTGCCATGGTTCCCTCTTTCTATGTCTTGTTACTTTTTGTTGTTAGAATTTTGGCATCTCTTCCAGACTTTGTGGTCTGATTTCCTATAGGGAAGACTTTCTCCATTCAGCCTGCCTAGATACTGGAGGCTTCTTAGGCCCTTTTTGGGTAGACATTCCCTCTGGGTTTATGTGTGTAATCTTTGAGGCAGGTACTCCCAGTGGTGCTGTTATAAATTTCAGTAAGGAACTCCACCTAGTGTCTATTTTTGGTACTGCAATCTCTGGTGCTTCATGTACTCTGGTGAATGGTTGATGGTCTTAGTTCTCAGAGATTCTGGCACCCTATTGCAGTCAATTCTTGGATAGAGGCAAGAGGGAAACTGGCCATTTGGGCAACCTCCTGGCTCCCAAATCAGAGTGTTGAATATGTGTTCTACTCCTTTCCATCCCCAAGGGGAAGACAAGAGTTGGAGATTTCTTCCCAATTGTGCTACAGTGTCAGGATAGGGAGAGGCTCTGGCAAGTTAATGTTGAGA